TATATATATGTATATGTATGTAGTCAATTACTCAGACCAAACTGCTGGCTATGAACATATAATGTCTGATTATGCAGATAGTTTCACATTCATATTCGATACGGGACAGTTGTCAGTGCCCAGGCTTTGCTTTAGGCTTTGCAATTTGAGCTTTTTCCGCGGCAAGTGGAGGAACGTTTCTCTTCTTGCAACTTATTTCCTCTAATAAGATTTCTATTTACTGATGATGTGCTTCATCCAGAGGATCCAAGCAAAGAAATGCAGTTGAGGGCTAATGGGTTCATTGTGATAATTAATTACACTTGATGATAGTAAAATACCACTCTTTCTAAGTAAGGGTTCAGCTCACTGTTCTACTGGTAATGAAGGTTAATTCATAGCTACCGGACAACTGCACTGACTGTCACTGACTTCTTGCAAATCACCAGTAATCTAGCTCTTATATGGCATAAAGACATATATTTAAATTTTTTAACATAGATTTGTCCTCAATTGAGGAAAAATAAATAGCCAAATACAAACCTCATGTCACTTTAGTAACATTGTAATTTTTTTCCCTCCACTCTAACAATGAAAATATTATTGAAGTCCCAGCAAGATGAATCATGTTTTAGTGGGCAGGAGGCTCCGAAAAGTAACGCAGTTTTAAGAGTGCATGGTTGACACAAGCTGGACTGTAGCGTCCAGGACTCCCAAGGTCTGGAGAGAAGGAGGCTGCATTGCTGTATTTCCCTGGACTGCCCGTCACTGGACTATTTCTTCCTGGACTAGAATACACTGAAGTGCTTGGAGGGCCAGCAGCAATGGTTTGGGACTTGAATCTTCCCTTCAGCGCTGGACTTGGCCAACTGAAAGAAAAAGTCATTTTTTCCATTTTATTAGGAAAACTGAAATAAGGAGAGCAGTAGATTACTCAGTCTCTCTTGTAGATCTAGAAATAATGCACCAGCAGAGAGAAAGCAAAACTGGTCAGAGACAGGTCTGAGAAGAAAAGGTGACAGTCAACACAGTATGTTACATGGAAACATGTTGCTTAATTGGGAAGAGGTCATTTGCCCCAAAACGGCCATTAAGAAAAGCGTGCTTGTAAAAGCACGGTTCGACAATGTTAGCCCAATGCTATTGCTCAGAAAAAAATTAGTTAGACAAGAACATCAAGATTTAAAAAAAGGATCTGATCCTGCTTCATGCCATACTCTTGCCTTCGGGTTGGTAAGATTCCCCCTCCTTTTTTTTTTTTTTTTTTAAATAGTATCTCTGCCCCGATGCCACAGAATATATTTTTTCTATAAAGAAACAAACTTTTTTTTTTTTAAACTCAGTGAGGTGTACAAAATTTCTTTGACAGCAGGGTAAAATATTTTCTTTTTTAAACTATAAAATCTTTTTTTTTTTTCCCCTTCATAAATTTTATCTAAAGAGGCAAGATGATGCAAGGTTGCTTCTACCATCAGTAAATCATTGCTGTTCTTTCTTTTATATGTGATCTTACAGGCTGTTTCTTAAGCTAAACCACTAGGGAAAACATACTATAAAAGCTAAAAATATTTTATAAAGTCATTTTTAAATAAAAAAAATAATTCATAACTACGCAAACTATGTATGTACCCAGCTTCTTTCAAACTTTTTGAAAAACAGTTTCCTCTTACAGACACCCCCCCCGCCAAAATCTGTATTGCAAGGTCTGAGTGTGGCAGTCAAAAATCCTGCAAACCTAAAACACAATACTATTTTGTATTTTATTTCTTTGCTTTTGGCAGAAGTGACACTGAAAAATTAAGGAGGCTGAGAAAGTAAGCCTTGGCACTGTCAAATAATTAAAGGTGTGATTTTAAAATATTATTACTTACGCCATATAACAAAGATTACATCTAAAAAGCTTGTGAACTATGTTTAGTACTTTAGAAAAATACTTTGGACCTTCCAAACCAATTACATTACCAATGTAATAAGAATTTATTTAAAAAAAAAACCCTAATAATTAGCCTATTTCTTTCAAAAAAGGAATTACAGAAGTGTGGGGACAACCGAAGTAGCCTTGGAAAAGATACCGTTATCAGTGAAGCATATGAAAATATTAGCTTGTTTCTATCCCACTTTAAATCACAGAAAAAAAAATCTTTCCATATATGTTT